TTTTTTCCTGGTAACATTTTGTTTTGTCAAAAACTATTTCTGTTAATATTTTTTCCCCAAAATGTATATAGCTGGTAATATTATTTTAAAAAATCTATTGCTGGTAATATTATTTTTTTTTTCAAAAATATATTGCTGTTAATAGTTTTTTTTCTTCAAAAATTTATTTCTGGCAATAATTTTTGACATAGTATTTCTGGTATTAAAACCTATTTTTACACTTTTATAATGCTTTTTACTTCAGTTTCGGGGTTAATTATTTGCCCATAGCTGGGACCCTAACAGGTGCTACCACTCCAGGTCAGGGTGAACCTAGGAACATCAGCAATTAAGAGGTGGTTCCATGCTCCTCAAAACCTCCTGATCAAAGGCCTTGCTGTTGGAGATAGTTTATTGTCTTACCCTGGACATCTTCAAAGTTAATGTTTTTGCACGATTTATCAACTGTTAACAAGAAAATATGGCAAAATTTCTGATGTTTTTGAGATGCATTTTCCTAATGATGGATTTATAATTGTATATTGGAATGACTTACATTTTTATCTCTTCCAATATTTCATTGTAATTTGGTATATAAATTTCTACAAAAAAGCTAGCATATTACCCATCAAAAATGAAGGGATGTTTTACACATGGGATGAAAATATCATCTTCCTGGGATGAAAATATCTGTGTTCTAAACAGGACCCAAGTATCACATAAATGTTGTTCTCCAGCTCCCTGCCTAAGATCATAGTAGTATCAGTGCACTCTGCTTATAATCAAAGTCTTGTTCTCCAAACCCTCTGCTTAGGATCAGGATGTTTTTTTTTTCTTCATATTCTCTAACACTCAGTAACCCCTTGCATCTTTGTGGCTTTAGTGACCTGCAGAGGGCAAAATGATTTTAAAAAAATGAAATTCATATTGTGCCTTTTTTTATACGCATACAACATCACAGAGTAATCCTTTACCTCGTGTGGCTCTTGGGCCTTATATTTGGTGAACATTAGTATAAAAAAAGACAAGGTAATAAACACATGCCTTCTGTTTGTAGATGTACATTGTTTATATTTTCTTTACATTGATAATATTCTCCTGAGTCGATGAGCAGTTCTACACGGTACAACTTTCTTTAATCTATCAGGAGCAACCACAGATCTTGTTAATGTGCTTCTTTGTACTATTATTGATTGTACCAGGATACCAATTGTTATAAGTATAACAATACCACATTTTTTTCAATTTTAAGATACTTATATATTTTATTTACTTTCTTGTAGTATTATTATTATTAGTTTGTGTGTTATGTTTCCTGTTTTGCATCTTGTAGAGCCAGGTCCAAACTATGGTCCTTAGGCCCTATAGGAGAATTGTCATTTAATTGAATAGCCCTTTTCTTAGTATATGGGATGTTCTTAGGGCGATCTTCTGGACAACTTGTATGTTGATGTTACCTGGAACACTGTTAGTAAAATTGTCCATTCCTTTTTATCACAAGGCCCGGAGCTCCTACTACTATTGGTACAGTTTCAATCTTCATTCCCCACATCCTGTTAATCTCAATCTCCAGGTATTTGTATTTGGACAATTTCTCGATAATTTTCATGGAGGTGTTTCTCTCAGATGGTACTGCTATATCAATAAGCATATACTTCCTGAATTTCTTGTCTTTTATGATAATATCAGGTCTGTTGGTTTTTATTTCTCTGTTAGTTTGAGTTGGCATAGTAGTATTATATTTAATATTATTTAATATCATTTTTAACATTGATGGTGGTGGTAAAAATATAAGTAAAAATGTTGTAAGTTTACAAAAAACGACAAAAGTAAACATGTTTTTGGCTCTTTTCCCTGTCAATTTCGAGTAACCTTCTAGTTTATAAAGAAATGCCAAATAAATTATATTCTATTCAGGAAACTCAAATGCCACCCTCATCATTAGTTGTCACTTTAGTGAGTATGTTTTTCTCTCTCTCTCTCTCTCTCTCTCTCTCATTCTTTCACACATATATTCTCTCTTTTTTTTTCTTGTTCTCTTTCTCTCTCTCTCCTTTTTCTCTTTCACATTCTTTCTCTTTCTTATCCTTTCTTTCTCCCTCTCTCTCACATTCTTTCTCTCTTTCTTCCACTCTCTCTCTTACATTCTTTCTCTCTTTCTTTTGCTCTCTCTATTTGTGGTAATTCATTCAGCTCTTGTAATGCAAAATTTAAGGATTAAAGGGAAAAATATTTTTCTGACAACAAAAAATACACAAAACACATATCTATGGAAATGGAATTAAATTTTAGTGACTAGCATATTTTGTGTGTTTGTGTGTGTGCCATAACAGTAAAAGTAAGTGTATATAAAAATCATGTCTGTATTGTATATGTTCATAGGCCAGATATCTGTTTATTCTTGTGTCCTTAAATATGTGCATATAAGTTCTCTTTTGAATGTAGGAATATTAGCATGTAAATGAATATATATAAATGTTATTCTCAACATAATATATATATATATATATATATATATATATATATATATATATATACATTTTTTTCACATATATATATATATATATATATATATATATATATATATATATATATATATATATATATATATATATATATATATATATATATATATATATATTATATTCATTATATATATACATAAATGAATATATTCTTATATATATATATATATATATAAATATATATAAATATATATATATATATATATATATATAAATATATAAGAATATATTCATTTATGTATATGCATATAAATGAATATATTCATATATATATATATATATATATATAATATGTATAAGAATATATTCATTTATGTATATATATAAATGAATATATTCATATATATATATAATATGTAAGAATATATTCATTTATATATGCATAAAATGAATATATTCATATATATATATATATATATATATATATAATATGTATAAGAATATATTCATTTATGTATATGCATATAAATGAATATATTCATATATATATATATATATATATATAAATATGTATAAGAATATATTCATTTATATATGCATATAAATGAATATTCATATATATATATATATATATATAATATGTATAAGAATATATTCATATATATATATAAATGAATATATTCATATATATATATATATATATATATATATATATATATATATATATATATATGTTAAAAGTTGCCCTATTGTGCAGCATTTAAACTAGCTCCTGTAGAGGGCTCTTGATTGTGCCTTCATCACAATAAATAGGGAGGAGTAGATGCGATAGGCAACAATAATCTACAGAACTCAAAATTGATTGCTGCATTTAAGTATTGCATTAATATTTAAGCTTACCTTTTAAAAGTTCAAATCACTTGGTATAAAGACAATTTGATGTATGTAGGTCCTTACTTTCTGTAAAAACAATTATTTTTATATCATTTATTACTTTTGCTGGATTTCACAATTAATTTTGATTATTCCCAAATTTATTTCTAAGTTATAAAAATTGTTATCATACAGAAAATTACTTGCAAAAATCACATAAAAAATCGTAGTAATGAAAACTTGGGAATCCAAAATTTCAGTATTGTGGTTCTGGATCCAGTCAAAAATGTTTTTAATTTGCTCATGGAGTTGACCTGATTCCAAAATGGTTTGATATGTTTAGCTATGGCCTCTCAAATTAAAGTTGAAAACATGGACAATTTTATTTTGAAAGACTGTAATTTGAGAATAGTAATTTTTTCATTTGAATATGAGCTATTGAATACTGTGTCCCTTTAATTGTTTTTATTAGTAGAAACCAATATTGTGGAATTCAAATACAATCACAGTAATGAAAACTTGGGAATCCAAAATTTCAGTATTGTGGGTCCAAATCTAACCCAGAATGATTTTAATTTACTTACAGAGTCAGTGTGAATCCAAAATAATATGATATGTTGGGCTACAGCCTCAAGAAATAAAGTTGAAAAGTGTGACACAATGACACACTGACATTCACATTTATTATATAGATATATATATAAATGAATATGGTTATCTTGTCTTGGTGTATTTGAGGCATGAGGATCAAGGAGCTCAGTTCCAAGAAACTAACAGCCAGATATCAGCACATATGATTTGATTATAGTGAGGAAGGCTTTGTGCAGAACCAACCACACTTTTTGAAGGGCCAAATACAGAGACCTGGTGCACTACATGCCACAAGATCCCCAAACAACCCTCCGCAGGTTTTGAATCCAGAGTTGTTCTTCTCCTAGACCAGTTGCCACCCAAGGCTATAGAACCCAATTTGTACTGCTATTTGCCCATAACTGGAAGAAGAGGATTAATACTTTTCCCAAGGGTATTAGCACATAAGTGAATATAATTGATTCGAATGGAATTCAAATTCAGCTCTCTAATTTCTCAATCCAAGCTGCTATCCACTACACCACTATGCCTCCTTATGAATATATATTGGCAGAATTCACCAACTTAAACAAGGAGACTGTCTAGAAGACTTACAGAAGATTGTGAAGTCATCTGGAGGTCATGGTTGATTATCAATTTTGTTGAATATATTTATTCTTTAGTATTTCAAGATATTTTTGTGTAATTTTGGTAAATATATATGTTAAAATGTGATGTCAGTGTTATTTGCATTTGCATCCATCGCACATTGTGTGTGTGTGTGTGTGTGTATATATATATATATATATATATATATATGAATTATTAAATATAATTATTAAATAAAATGGCCATGGAATGCTTTGCTGCTCACATGCTTCATCCATGGTATTCTCTGCATTTGACATATTCAAACAAGACTATATGCTTCTTCTTTTATGTATTTTGTCCATTCAGTATATTGATATTCTTCATCCTTGTCTTTGACACTTGGCAGAATTTGTCAGGACCAAAAATAACACTCATAAAATAGAGAATGCCCATCAGGATCACCATTGTGGCTAATCATATATTGGAGCTCTTACTTTGGCACTCAGTAGCTTGGCCTTCTTTTCATGGCATATTGTGATAGTTGCAGCTGTCTGGAAAAGCCAGTTCTATTCTATGGCAGATTATACCAGCTATTGACCAACTTAACACCTAAAATAGTAAAGAGAAAAAGAAAAGGTTATTTATCTACATGCTTATTTGATCAAAATGTGACATGAAAAATTTCAAGTCGGTTGGTAGGCTATTCATATGTGAACTGGGAAACAAAAATTCTCAAGCCCCCTTGTCAGGTAACTTTCTTATCCCCCACCTCAAAAGAAAGGTAAAGGACTTGAAAATGCACCCCAAGCATGTAATATTAAGTTTCCACCCCAGTTTGAGATTCAGTGTGAGCTCCTTTTATAGTGGGATCATACAGTTAGTAATTCCTAATGCTGTTTTTTGATTGGTTGATTTTGTTGTCATCCACTTTCAGATACCTGGCTTTTCTGAGGTGTGTATCCTAACACTTTTTGCTTGGTTGCTTTCTTTGCTATGTCTCAGGAGAATATGGTTTTTGAGTTGGAGAACAAGGGAGAGTAAAAAATCTATAGGTTTCTTTGTATCTTTTGTATGTAAATTTTTATTATTTTTTTCTACATTTGCTACAACAGTTCAAGTGGATGCTTTTGAATATGGGATGTGTTCATCTCTACAGTGTCTATATATTTTGTCCATTCAGTGTATGAATCCACTTAAACTGTTTTAGCAAATGCTTTTGAATAAATTTAGAATATGGGCTCCAAGGTATCTATAACATCTCCATTTTAATGAAACACAATGAAATTATAAAATACCTAATTATAGAGTGAAAGATTAGTAACACATATTGGATTATTGACTGTAGGATTCAACACAAAAGTTAATAGTATCCATAGAAAAGGGGTTAAATATCACAGCAAATTTCTCCTGATATTTTTTTGTGATATTTTTCCATTTCAAAAACCAAAATTTCTGAGAAAATATTTCTTTTAAAAAAGATGAAAAGCATCAACATTTCAAGATGCTTCTGAAAAGAATGATATTTTTATCATTGTTACTTTTCAACAATCTGAAACTGCAGTAAATTTATAATACAGGTTATCTCAAACATCAAGAAAGTGTTAACAAATTCACTTTAAATGGTTCCCCGACAATAGCAGTCAGGGCCAGTTCAAGGGTCTCATGCAATCCTTCCCCACTGCCTGAATCTATGATATGTACCCTCCCATTCTACTACATCTCAATTTTCATTAACTTAGTATTCATATAAAATACAAATTTTATTGTAACCTAATTATGTACAATAATGGATCATATGCAATATAGGTGAACAATCCAACTAGAAAAATTGAAAATAAATACTATGTATAAAAATACAAATTAGAGACATGTCAAAACGTTAGTAATTTAAAATACAGAGTTAAAATGCTAGAAAGTTAACAGTAAATACAAGGGAGATAACTGAAAATACTAATAAAAAAATAAATATGTATTTTTTCTGGTTTTTGTATAATTTTCTTCCATCATTCTTTAATACACATATTTTTAGGTTTGGAATATGTTACATTTAAACAAGCATTGCCTCTCTAAAAATGACTTCATAATTCTTTCTTATACTGGTCTTAACACAGAATACATGCAATATTTTCATTAGTGAATCTATTTTTCAAATTCATTCTCAGATTGCTTGCTTGATGACTAAATTGCCAAAAAAAGGATTATCAGCACTTCACAAAAATTTGGTTACTAAATTACTTTTAGGTCCGCAAAAACAAAATTACTGTGAATAAAGCAAATAATTGTCTGATATACTACCATATTTTCTTATTTTGGAAGTAATGGACTCTTAGAATTCAGAAGAATTCTGAGTGCTTTGGGCTCTTGTGGATGGGAATAGGCATTATGCCATGAGAATGGCTTTGACCTGGCTTTCCATTCTTACCATACCGATCATTAGAATTTACTCAGTTTCTACTTCCTAGGCATTCCAGATTTTTGGGCCTCCCTCCAGACAGGATGAACAGAGGTGTGTTCTCTCTTATTGATCTCAAAGAAGTTTGCCAACATATATATATATATATATATGTATGTATGTATAAAACATAATAGGACTAATATTTTTTTCAGAATGTAGCCTGATCTCTCCTGCCTACTAACTACTCGATTGTTAAGCTATTGGGATGCATTGCTTGGCACCAATAAGCAACCATTTCACATGTTACCATAACAACAGAATATCTCATTAGCAAATAGTGTGAACAAGTTGAAATATTGATTTTTATTTGTTTTGTGTTAAATTATTTTGATATTTTTTACTTTCAATAATTTAAAAAGAGGCATTTTTTGTTACATGCAATAATACAGTCTACTTTATAGCAAGAAATTTGAAAAATGCAGAAAATATAATAAGTGCAATTGCTAAGTTATATACATGCACACACAGGTAGATAGATGGATATATAGGTGAACACAATGAGATAGATAGAGAGATAGTCAGACAGATAAATAGATGAACATAATGAGATAGATACATACATAGATGAACACAATAAGATAGAGAGATAGTCAGACAGATAAATAGATGAACATAATGAGATAGATAAATGAACATGATAGATAGATAAATATATACAAAATGAGATAGATAAGCATAATGAGATAGATGCATAGATGAACATAATGAGATAGATACATACATAGATGAACGATAGATAGATGAACATAAACAGATAGATAGATAGATAGATAGATAGATAGATAGATAGATAGATAGATGAACATAATGAAATAAACAGATAGACAAACAGACAGGCAGACAAACAGATAAATAGATGAACATAATGAAATAGATAGATAGATAAATGAACATAATGAGATAGATAGATAGATAGATAGATAGATAGATAGATAGATAGATAGATAGATAGATAGGGGCTATAAACCCTGGGCAGTATTGTTGCTATTCTGGTAACCTGAATCATCAGCCAAAAGCTGCAATCAGAGAGTATTTATACAAACCTACACACACATATCCACACATACACACACACATTATATATATATATATATATATATATATATATATATATATATATATAGTTTGAGTGTGCCTGCATTTGTGTGTGTCTATTTGCGTACACGTAAATATGTATAGGCAAGTGTTCATCTCAAATTTTCCCTTTGATGTATATTAAGCCTCTTTGCTGATTTTCTTTCTTTCCTTCTTTGCTGCTGCCTCTGCCTAACAGCTGAATGTCTTTAATTTTGCACTGGCTGCAGGATGCAGACAATCTACATTATCTCAATACTTCCCCAGATCCAAATCCTAATAAATATTTCCCAACATTATTGTCCTGATAATAATTATTCATATAACTCTCAGAATCAATATCTCTGGGTCTGTCTGTTAAGTATATTTGCATGTGGAGAGTGGTACACTTCAACTGCAAAATGCCTACTTCTGTTGCGAAATGCCTACACTGATTTCAACCAAACTTTGTATTTGATCTAAAGATTTTTCAAAGAGTTTACGAAAAACTCTCATGCTTAAAAAAAAAGTAAGAAGAGTAAAGTTTTGAAGCAAAAGTCATACAGTAAGGCATTTTTAAGGTGTATTTCAATCCATGTTTATAGCCATATCATATTGAAACACTTGACCTATCCCCAAAGTTAAGATCATTCAGCTTGGTCAGTACCTAAATGGGTGACCACTTAGGAATACTAGGTGCTGTATGCTTGGATAGTGTAATTGTTAACAGCTCTGAAGGAGAAATTGAAGAGCAGAGTTTGAATTCCAGTCAAGTTTGTTGCATTCACTTACACGCAAATACCCTTGGGAAAGGTATAAATCCATCAAGAGATTCATACCCACACCTATAGGTTAAATAGCAGAACAGACTGGGTTTTATAGCTTTGGTTGACAAACAGTCTACTGCAGAAAGTAATGGCTGCCAACTGTGGGAATTCTTCCACTAAGTCAATTGAACAAGCAAGCATCATACATGGCACCTAAGAAATTAATCAGTCCAGGTAACCTCCATAGAATTTTGAGTTTAACCCCATATTTAATTTATAAAGAGTAGATTATTCTAATTCAACTGTCCATAGTAATTGTAAGTTCAATCTCTGGGTAATATATTACAGACTCAGTACAAATCAGACAAGCAATATCTTAGCAGCATTAAAAAGAACAAGACAAGATGCCCCAAGACATAGACAGTGGAACAAGAAAAATCTACGTCTGTAAATTAAATAAATGGTTCAGTTCAAAATTCTTTGAAGTTTACTTGGATCAACAGATACCCGAAAAAGTCTGGAGGGCAAAATGACCAAAGCACTATGATAATGACAACAAAGATGAGGACTATTTACACTATTTACCTTGTTCAGACTGCTGTTCTCATCTTTATTGTCATATTCACAACATTTCGGCTATTGTACACTTCGGCCTTCTTCAGGTGATTCATTGAAATTTCAACCTGAAGAAGGCTGAAGTGTACAACAGCCAAAACCTTGTGAATATGCCAATAAAGATGAGGACCACAGTCTGAACAATGTAAATAGTATAAATAGTTACAATACTTTATCTCAGAAATATAGACAAAGATGAGGACATTAGTCCAAATGTAAATCATTTCTTCAATGTTTTTAACTACAATTTTTCTACTGCCAATCTTCTCATATTTATATAGTAAGTAAATGACTGTTTGCTCATTTCTGAGTATGCCTGTCTGCTCAGGCAATTTGTGTTTGTTCGACACCCACAGAGTCAACCACTAGTTTATACTGCCACTATGCTCAGCAGACCTTAGTTACAGTTTCTGGAAGAGAGTGCATAATCTGGTGTGATCAATAATTTTGAATAAGGCCAGAATACATTTGGTTATTATGAATTGTGATTTTTATACTAGCCTAATCTTTGACAGATTTTAAACAGTTCTGTTTACCTAATTTTGCTTACAAGGCATGGGATCACCCATTGTAGGCATTTTCAGGCACTTTTCCAATGGCGCTGCATTCTGGGATTGTCTTCTCAGGCTGATAACATTGAGAAGTTACCACCTTGACAAATCAACTATGGTGAAATTCAAACCCCAATCTGATGGTCAGAAACAGTCAGTCAGTTATGTACCATGCGTGATACACACTTAGGTGATCATGTATCTTTCGATACATGACTGATGAAGCAGATTTTGTTCTCACAGTAGATTGCCATTTCTTTCTGTAGATCAGTTGCCATCCTAGGCTATAGAACCCGGTCTGTCCTGCTATTTACCCAAAGCTGGGATCTATGTCAAAATCTATGCCAAAATAGAAAAAACTTTAAAACTTCACATTTTCAGTCAATGGTATTCTCAGTATCTTTCTGTAGAACGACATTTCAAGTCTCTTCTTCATATTTGAGGAGATTGTCCGGCTGTCACTGCCATATAGGAGGTCAGATATCAGTCAGTTATGTGCCATGCGTGATACATGCTTAGACGATAATGTATCTTTCGATACATGACTGACGAGGCACATTTTTTTCCCGCACTAGGTTGTCATTTTTTTCTGTAGTAGACCAGTTGCCATCTAAGGCCATAGAACCCGGTTTGTCCTGCTATTTACCCATAGCTGGGGGGAGAAGAAGAGAATTAATACCTTTCCCAAGGGTATTAGCACATAAGTGAATGTAAAGTGAAAGGATGAAGAGAAGGACAGGGAAAAGATCAAGACATCTGGAGATGTTGATTGATATTACATTTGAATAGTTGGAGATTATAGCTATCAGGAAAACAAGTAATAGAAAGGGAATTCCACAGATGGGAAGTGCAAGACATGAAGCTGTTGGAGTAGAAGAGACGGCTACATTTAACTGTTTCAACAGTGAAAGGGTGGGACCAAGATGCCAGCCTAGTTGCACATTTAAATACATGCAGTCTGGGAACTAGTGAAAGTAGACCATCGAAGCAGTTACCGTGAAAGTATTTGTAGAAAAGAAGGAGACAATGACACATCTGTGAGAGAGCGACTGTAGACAAGATGCCAGATCAGAGCCAATCACATTGCATATCCGTCTCTGGATTTTGTCAAGGACCTTAAGACAAACAGCAGGGGCACCAGACCATATATGGCAGCAGTATTCCATGCAAGGAAGAATGGTTGATTTACAGATTTGAAGGATGAACTTGAACAACACATGGAACCAACTTTCCTTGCGATGGATGAAGCTATTGATTCAATGTAATTGTTCCATCTCAGGTCAACGGACAGTGTGAGACCAGACAGTTGCAAAGAGGTGTTCTTGTGGAGTTGAGCATCAGACATTCTAATGGGAGGCAGGGATGGTTCCCTGTGGTGAGTAATAGAGAGCAGTTTTGTTTCAGAAGCATTAAAGTTAACCAGCCAATTCCTGTCCCAGTCCACAACCGATTGGCAGTATATGCTAATTGAAATTTATGTATGTCACATGCATGCGTATTCATGTGGTGCATGTCAAGTGACTTTGTGATGGCCAAAATGACGTCAAAGATAAAGAATACTGTAGACACTGTGCATAAAAAGAACCAGCAAGTAATGTTTAAAAAAACAACAATCAAACAAAAGGTTCAAAATGATTGATGATTGCAGATTTGATCTCAATCGATAATGACTGTCAGGCAAATTTTACCAGAAAAAGTTTACATGACAAAAGTTTGCCATCATCAGCATCTATTCAAACTTTTCAAAAAATCTCTTGTGCTGCTGAAAAACCTTTGCATATGACATGCATTCTTTCAGTTAACACAATGAAAAGATTCAGTAGTTGTTTGGTTCAATTTCACTCAAAATTTTAAATTGCTTGATTTTTGAACTGACCATTTCTACAATTCATCAGACAAAAAAAATTCAGTGAAAAGCAATACATAACAGTAAACAAAAGATGCAGACAGTATAATTGAAACACCAGTTTCTATATAATCACCAAAGTTAAGCAACATCGAGCCTGATCAGTATCTAAATGGGTGACCGCTTGGGAATACCAGGTGATGTAAACTTGGATATGCAGGTAGTATAATAGGCTTACGGCCACATCATGTTGAAACACCCGTTCTCGTACAATCACCAAAGTTAAGCAATGTCAAGCCTGATCATTACCTAGATGGATGACCACTTGGGAATACTAGGTGCTGTAAACTTGGATGAGTAGGTGGTGTAATAGATAATGGCTCAGAAGAGCCAAGTTCCAATTCCAGTTTACATGCAAGTACCCATGGGAAAGGTATGAATTCACCTCTTCTCCCCCAGCTATAGGTTAATTAATAAGACTATTTTCTGGCTTTATATAACCTACAATGGGTTGATAGACCATAAAAAACAAATCAATCAGACAGCATAAAACTTTCCTAGGTTATTTATGCTAGCCCCTTAGTTAGCATATACGATGTGGTTTATTCATGTAGATAGATAGATAAAGAAAAAGGAGGTTGATTGTAGTTGGGAACATAAAGTCAATGAGAACTACACAATCTTTTCCTTAGCTGCATAATATATACTTCATCAAGGCTACATACAGTTTTGAATTCAGAGTTATCCTTCTCTTAGGCTGGTTGCTAACCAAGGCTACAGAGCCCAGACTGTTCTACTATTTAACCCATAGCTAGGGAGAAACAAAGAGATGGATTCATATATTTCCCAAAGGTATTTGCACATAAGTGAAAATAACAAACTCAACTGGAATTAGAATTGTTTCAACTGATAACATGAGTGTTATCGTCTTCTTTAATCTACTCTCCACAACTTCCAGTGGCTTACAACTACATCACATTGAAACACTGGTTCTCTTACAATCATATAAGTTAAGCAATATCAAGCCTTGTCAGTACGTAGATGGGGGACCATTTTGGAATACCAGGTGCTTGAATATACAGGTGGTGTAATGGATAATGGCTCAGAATTTAAAATCAGAGACTCAAGTTCCAATTCCAGTCATTTTTTTATATTCATCAAGGCTACATACAGTTCATAAAAATACCCTTGGGAAAGGTATGAATCCATCTCTTCTCCCCCCCAGCTGTAGGTTAATGTCATGGGTCCTTACCTATAACTACAGAATGAACTCTTCCTAACACTATGTATACTATGCCTCTAAAGAGAGGGAGACGAATCGAGTCGAGCCGGTAGTAGTTCACTCCAAACCAGACTGACAGTCATACTAACACCTTCCACATCTTGTATTATTATTTTGTGTAATATATCTTCGTTATTTCTACTCTTGTGTTCGTGTTGTTCTTCCTTTCGTCCTAACCTGGACCATAACAGTTAATTAGTAGGAATTGTATCAGTAAATCATTTTATCTCCAAAATAAAATTATAATCTAAAAACATTTTCTGGCTTTAAATAACCTCCAAAAGGTTGATAACCCATAAAAACAAATAAATCAATCAATCAATTAATCAACAACTTCTGGTGTTTTGTTGCTCTCAGTAATTTTGACCCTTTGTCATCGCTCTTTATCCCTGTTCTGTCATCCAATCACACAAACTCATTAAGTAGGTTTCTTGTTGTTTCCCCTTAGTTTTCTTGTCTTTAGTATGTCTTGTGAGTGTTAAATTCTCTAGAGCCTCTTTCCTCATTTCAGTTACCTCTTTCAGATTATAAGTATGTTTACTTTTTGTTCTTATTTACTTTAAAACTTCCTTATTGCTAACATGTTCTGTCCATGGTATTCTTAGCATTCATCAGTTGGGCCCAATCTCTGTCACTTCAAATCTCTTCTTCAACCTGCAAGATTTTACAGTATTCACTACCATATAGGAAATTAGTCATTATATAACAGATTTTACAGTATTCACTACCATATAGGAAATTAGTCATTATATAACAGATTTTACAGTATTCACTACCATATAGGAAATTAGTCATTATATAACAGATTTTACAGTATTCACTACCATATAGGAAATTAGTTATTATATAACATATTTTACAGTATTCACTGCCATATAGGAAATTAGTTATTATATAATGAAATATAAAAGGTGTATGCATTTATATATTTACTTTGCCTAATTTCTGGAAGATATCTTTTCAGTATTCCTATGTGCATTTAGATTTTTTCCATCATCAGTTAGTATGCTACCTAGAAAGTTAAATTTTTACACCTACTTGATTTTATAAATTTAATTTGATTGCATGGTCAAGCTGTAAACATGTAATGAAAAATGACACAGGCCTTGTAAAAAAAATATATATATATTAATAATTACATATACCTATGTTTAAAGTATGACTCAGAGTTTCATAGCTTTGTTATGAACTGCTATTGAACAGTTCATGACTTTTTATACTTGATGATTGGCAAAGCTATGAAACTCATACTGTAAATGTAGGTATATGTATATTATTAATACATACTCTATAGCTCTGTTTTACTACATTGAGCACTGTTTTGTCTACACCATGGATTAAATAAATAGTTATTTGCTCACTTGTATGTGTAAGTAATCACTCATATATATGGTGGATTGTATCTCTTTATTTAAATAATTTATATATATATATATATATATATATATATATATATATATATATATATATATATATATATATATATTCAGGCAAGTTTCGTTCAATAGTTTAAATACGTTTTGTCTGCTTATTTTCAACAAAAATCTGTTCTTAATAAGCAGAAAATAAAACAGGCAAAAACTTGTCTAAACTATTTAACAAAACTTGCCTTAATGAAAACATGCTACCAAAATATACACAATATATATATATATATATATATATATATATATATATATATATATATATATATATATATATAATGGCCTGACAACCATATTTAAACATGAAACAGACTCTCGCTGTAGGGTATTGACTTCAATGTCCACTTTTATATTTACATACACTCTATCCCTGATATCACTTTAACTCATAAATATAGCATACCTTAAAACTATATTTCTATCCTATATATATATATATATATATATATATATATATATATATATATATATTAAAAATAATGACAAAGTGGAAAAAGTTGTTCTGATATATAAAAATTTATACATTTCTCTCATATAAATCCCTTGATTAATGCACATTCAATTAATGCATTTTCAAAAAATTTTATACATCAAAACTTGATTAGTGCATGCATAATATTTAATTAGTATGGTGAAAGATTCTTCAGTTTAACCATAGTAATTGAAAATGGGTTTTTTATAGTTACTGGTTAATTCAAAATTTTCTAAAATTTAAAAATGGAAAATGGGTAACTATTTTGTTTGTGAAGTATTTCATTATTCAAGTAATTATGGTAGTGTTAAAAAAATGGATTGTTAAAAATAAATACATTTTATAATACAAGTCAATAAGAAAAATACATATTTGAATATTTGTCTCTATTAAAAAATTTTAATATTTTGATTTTTTTTCTAGTTAATTTCAAAGGTCTTGAAAGGAAATTTCTGATTATTTGTTAAAATAAAAATGGATGATTTAATTAGATACAGAAATTTACACTTATTAAAAAATAACGAAATATAAAAGGTGTATGCATTAGCTATAGAAAGATTATAAAAACATTTTGAGGTTGAATGATTATATGTTTGGAAAATTTGAAGGGGCAATTTTTCAGTACTGCCAAACAGAACAGAAGAATATCATACAGCAAACCACTCTAAATAAGTTTTTCATTAAAAATCAGATTAATAAACATTAATTCATAGCATTTTTATTGTATCTTCTTATTTTTTTAATCAAAAAGTACACAAATTAGAAATTAATTGTGAATGAAAATAAAATATGAGGTATAAATTACATCATTTTCTACAATTTATTATATTTCATTAATGCATTTTCAATTAATGTATATCTTTTAATGTGCACATTAACCACACTAATCAAGGGATTCATATATATATATATATATATATATATGAGAAGAGGGAGACTTTAATTATCCATTTTGATCATAAATTTATTTCATGAACACTGAGATGTTCAATTCTTCAGATTGAAATCTCCTCTGTAAAAAAATTAGAGGGCATTTCATATATACTGATAAATGTTAGTTGAGGTCATATACATAATGTCATGTATATAATGTCATATACATAATGTCATATACATAATGTCATATACATAATGTCATATACATAATGTCATGGTAAGATAAAAAAAGAGCTGTTTTATAAGTGTCAGTAAAAACCAGAATGAATAACATTTAAAATATATTATAAACAAAATGCATATATATTTATATATATATATATATATATATATATATATATATATATACATACGTCTTACCAGTTTGTGACTAGAAGGGATAATTCCAAGGAGGACATAAATCCAGGGAGAGCTCAATGTCAACTACAGAGCATTATAATCATAATAAGAAGACGGAGACTTTTAATTATCCATTTTGAATATAAATTTATTTTATGAACTTGAGATGTTCAACTCTTCAGTTCAAAAATTTCCTCCAACTTTTTTATGGAGGAGATATCAACTGAAGAGTTGAACATCTCGGTGTTCATGAAACAAATTTATAATCAAAATGGATAATTAAAGTCTCCGTCTTCTTATATACACATATATATATATATATATATATAAAAAGAAAGAACAGTAAGATATATAATCCGGTGTTCTTATAGATATTTTTATTTTTACAAAATAGTGCTCAATGTAAATTTACAGAGCATTAATATTATAAATTGATTTATTTAAAATGTCTTTAATTTAATTACAAAATTAAATTCGTAGCTTTTAGCTTCCATTTTTGAAACATGGTTAGAACTGTGTAGCGAATAAAACCATATTTTAAATAAATCAACTTATAATATATATATATATATATATATATATATATATATATATATATATATATATATATATATATATATTTAAAAATAAAAATGACAATAGGAAAACTGGTAATTGTTGATGCGTTTATTCAATGTGGACTTTATCAAAGCAAAATAAAAATTACCAATTTTCCTATTGTCATTTTTATTTATAAATATTGTCTTCTCTACTGATTAAATCAGAGAAATTTGCATATATATATATATATATATATATATATAGAGAGAGAGAGAGAGAGAGATTTGCATATATATATATATATATATGTGTGTGTGTGTGTGAAAATATATAGAAAATAGGAAAGAACTGGTT